GCGAATTAAAAGAATCCCCACATGATGCTGCCGCCATACTGATACGGTCTCTCTTTTAATATTGTAATGAGCTTGTTAATCTGCAACTGTGTATACAGGCATATATGCTCACTGCCTGGACCCTCTTCTATCTCTGACTAAGCCCATTATTTGGGGAAACATGTCCAAGAGGAGAGGATCCACGAAAGGATGATGTGTACCTGTGTGCAACAATAAACTTTTCAGCGAAGCTTGTGGTGTGCGACCAGACATTGTCTGTGAGCAACTGTTGCTGCCATCATGCTTCACTGTGGGGATGATCTCAGGCTGATGGGAAGGGTTGGATTAGTGCCACACATAGGGTTTCCCTAGGATGGCAAAAAAACTTAAATTTTAGTCTAATCTGACCAAATAACCTTTTTCCATGTGTTTGAGGAGTGTGCCACATGCTGTCTGGGGAACTCCAAAGTCTTTTGGCAATGGCTTTTTTCCCCAGCCACACTTCCATAAGGCGCCACTCTATGGAGCATATGACGTAAAGTGGCTCTATGGACAGATACTCCCATCTCCACAGTGGATCTTCAGTGTTATCTTTGGGGCAGATTATTGCCCTTCTTGTCTGTGAGTTTTGGCGGACGGCCTTTTCTTGTCAGGTGTGTAGTGGTACCATATTAGTTCCATTTTGTTTATATGGATTTAATAGTGCTCTGGGGGGATGTTCAAAGTTTATTTTAATAAGCCAACCCTGATACAACTTTGTCTCTGACCTGTTTGAAGTGCAACTTGGTCTTCATGTTGCTTACTTAGTGGTGTTGCAGACTTGGGCATTTCCGAACAGGTGTTTTTATACAGACATTATGAGGCAGATCATGTCACACTTTGAATGCACAAAAGCAGACCTTCAAACAACTAATGATGTGACTTCTTAAATTAACTGGCTGGCCCACATTTTATTAATGGGTTTCATAGCAAAGTGGGTGAACACTTCAGATTTCTTTTTTTTAATCTTAATATTTGTGTTACAATAAAAATGATTTGCTCCTACAAAGTGATAGGCATGTTGTGCGCTTCTCATGGTACAAACCCCTATAAACAGGGGTGCCCATAACGTCGATCGCGATCTACCAGTCGATCGCGTAGCGATCACTGGTAGATCGCCATGTCCTCTCCTCCCGCCGCTTCTCTGGATCCCCGCTGCTCTCCCCAGTGGGGATCCGAGAAGAAGTGAAGGAACCGGCGGCGGGGGAGGGCGGAGGACAGAGCCGCTGTCACTAACTAATGCAGAGCAGTGAGGAGAGAGACGCTCGGCCAGGATCTGACAGCCGGCGCTTCTCTCTCCCCTCACTGCTCGTCCGTTCTGTCACAGGTGCTCCGCCAACCCGCGGCTCGTGGTATCTCACCGCTGCCTCTGCCCGGGAGAGCAGGGGGATCCAGAGAAGTTGCAGCCCCCCTGTGCGTGGACGAGCGGCAGAGGATCGGTACATGTCACTAGTATGTACCAATCCTCTGTGTAGGACAAACACTGGAGCGATCGGCTGATCACTCCAGTGTTTGTAAATAACTGGGGACACATAGTACTATGTGTCCCCAGTTATAAATGAATGAACAGGAGGTGATTTACATCACCTCCTGTTCATTCATAAGTTTCTCAATGGGGAGAAGCACTCTGTACAGAGGCTCCTCCCCATTCAGAAACAGCTTGATAGTAAAATATTTTCTTAATGAATGGGAAGCCTCTGTGCTTTCCATTCATTTAGAATAGAGGCTGCAGAAAAAGAGATTGAGGACTTTGTGTCCCTTTTTAAAAGGGAAATATCAAGGGGCTTTTTAGACCCCTAATATTTCCCCGAAGCCCCCCCAAGAGTAAAAAAAAAAATTATGAAAATTTAAAATAAATAATGAAAATAAAATAAAAAATAGTAAAAAATAAATTTAAAAAAAACTTTGTTTTTTTCTTGCCACAGGCGCAAAAGGAGTTGGCTACGGCTATGCTCCCGTGGTGCTCGTGCGGCTGAATGTGTCAGACGCTGCAGATGGAAAGGTGCAGGACACCCCATGTGCAACGTCGGCCACACGAGCACCACGGGAGGACAGGATGCCGGGACCTGTAATGTACTGGAATGCACTGGAATGTAAGCAGGCCGACTCCCTGCGTTCCGGTGCGGGGGGGGAGCTGTATTGAAGTCAATGGCATCACCCCTCAGTGCGATCGCCCGCACTCGGAACGCAGGCACATTAGTGCCTGCATTCCGGTCCAGTGTGATCTGCAAAAATAGTGCTCGCAGCATTTTTGCGGATCGCACTGGACTGGAACACAGGCACTAATGCAGGCGATCGCACTGTGGGCGAGGGGCCTGCCTGCGCAGCCCCCTCCCGCCCCTGAATGCAGGTGTTTTGTCGTTGGTAGATCTCAATGAGCTCGTCATTTGAAAAGTAGATCTCCAGATGAAAAATAGTGAGCGCCCCTGCCCTATAAAATTCATTTTAATTCCAGCTTGTAATGCAATAAATGGAACAACTCCAAGGGAACTGTAGCTATCCACAGGCAGAGAATGCAAAAAGGAGATATGGAGAAACGGGCTATTATATTATGCAGTAATTAATAATATATGCAGGGAAAGGTTTCTGAACCAGACCAGCACAAAAAGCAACACATATAAATCTATGATTTTGGCTCTTCAGTCTTCAGGTTGGCTGTACTATAGGCAAGAAGCCCCAACACCACCCTTGCCAAAATCTAGCAATACAACTAACTGCCAATACAATAATTGTCTTTTGTTTTCTGGGACATCAGGATAAATCACCCAGAGCAAACCAGCCAAATACTATAGATCCACTAGTCTTTGTTCATATTAACCTTGTCAAAGGCAGCAGAAGATGGGGTTAATAATGTGTAAAGCATGTTCAAATAAACAGCTACAAGCCTACACCAACAGTTGATAACATGACATCACAAAGGTGAATAAACAAGCTGCAGAACAATATTTTGTCCTTGCCACCAGATGAGCTAATTATGTAACTTCGACCTGTGCTGTAATAGGAGATTTTAGATGATAATACAAGTCATTTACTACCCATATGTTACAACAAAGGGCTACTGCTATTGTTTGTATTATCATTAACAAAGTTGAATTCTTACCACTTACATGCATACAGTTAATAAAGACAGCTGAAAAACTGGTTGTCTTGTTAGATGCCAAAGATTGTAAATGTAATTCTTATTAGCATTTTTCCCTTTGCTTTAATATTGCAATGCAACAGTATCACAAAATAATAGTACCGATTTAAAAATAAAAAGAAAGATTTTATCTCTATCAGATAATCTTTTTCTAAATGTATGTGGCACTTCACTTGCATTTAAAAGTCTGATTTCATGACCAATGGTTGGTGCAAATCCAAAGTAAATTAGCCAGGGATTTTTAAAATCACTGTTCACTAATATGGCAGCTTTGTGTGAAAACTTAGTAATCGGTTAATAGTGCTGTTTCCACAAGGGACCACCACTTACCCCTAGTAAACATGGCAGCAATTTGATACAGCCTGTGGCATACCCTTGGGTGTAGCAACTGCCACTTACATTTTCATGGCAATAAAAGGGACAGCAAACTTAGTAGTACATTATCTCCGTTAAACAAATCTTGGCTCTTTCGGGCTTATTCAAAGAACAAGGTACACAGAAATTATAAAAATGTGATAGTCCAATGAAAGCAATCACAATTTATTTTACTGGTGTTAGATCATGTAAGAAGTGATTAATGGTTAACATAGTATGCACATTTTTTTTTAGCTAATGCCTTATTGACACATAAAAAAATAAACTCTAAAAGATAGAAGTTATGCTGCATTCAATGAGTCTGTGAGAGCGTTCGAGTCAAGATTTTAATATATTCCAAAATTTTGGGACATTTGCTCATATAGTATATTCTCTTTTACAGTACAGGACTGGACAAAAAAACCCAGAGCTTTCCAGAAAAGAACAGAAGGTTTATTCTGCAAGCATTCAAACTGCACTCTCCTGAACATTACCTACAGTGTCAAACTCTTCAACTACTACAAAACCATACGAAATTCCAAATTACCATCTGGAGTCACACAGGCGCTGAATGTACTTCAACAGCTACTCTGAAGGCGGCCTAAATATCACTCCTAGCTAAGGTAGTACCCGAGAGATGACCTGTGAGAGAACACAGATGCAGCCACAAAAAAAAAGGCAACCAATCAGCTGGCTATTTTCTGTCTCTGAACAGGGTTGTTTATACATGCTGTCTGACTCAAGCTGCCTGCTCACAAGTATGCAGAAGAAACAGACAAGGAGAGGGACGCCTTGAGATGGATTCTAAACCTAAACTTTCAGCTTGTCATTTTACCTGCCAAGATATGGTAAATTTATAGAAAGAGTAGAAAAGCCATTTTAAGCAAGCAGCAATGAGCAGGCTTTTGTCCATAATTGTTTAATTTGTTGACACTGCTTAGTAAATGATGTGTCTAGTTCCTTTAGGCCTGGTTCACAACTGGGCGTTTTGTAGCGCGTTCGAACGCTCTGCAAAACGTTCAAACACCGAAATCCCATTGTTTCCTATGGGTATGGTTCACACCTGGGCGTATTTCAGCACGTCTGAACACGCTACAAAACGGCCTACGCCCAAAGTACAGGAGCTTCTTTGGGGCGTTTTTGTCGCGCGTTTCCATTGGGATACAGCCAAGTAGCCCTCGGAAACGCACGTTTGTCGCATCACGAAACGCGTGACAAACGCGCATTTTCGATACGCCTAGGTGTGAACCCAGCCTAAATATTGGATATATCAATTTGATTTTGTTAGCTATCGCAGGTATAAAAGTGTGAGAGGCATAAACTGATCCTATTCAATGTAACATTTAGCATCACAGACTTTTGTTTCATTTGTTTAACCCTGAACTAGACATCTAGCCATGGACTGTAAAACAAATATTTTATCTAAGTATTGAAATTATTTTTGTCACAGTGAGAGTTATCCATTATCATTTAATTAACATGGTCTCACCATTGTGTTGTAACCCACAGGTCTCTGCTGTCTGCTGCTCCTCCATTTGCCTGCAAATGTAGCACCTGTAAGAAAAAGAAAAAAAAAACTTAAAACATTAACAATACACTTCTTTATATTTTCTGATGAATTTGTAGAACCTGCACCAGCAAGAACCTTTTTTTTTTGTAAATGTAACAAATCATAAATAGAGTAATAATTTAAATATATAAATAAAAGCAACCTACCCAGATGTGCAATAGATTTTATCCCTTGGAGATCCTACTGCCCACTCTGCTGGTTGGAAAGACACTGTCCCTTCATAGTAACGATGAGATAGAAAAGTCTTAAAACCTAAAGAAAATACAATCTCGGTCTTAGTTCTAACTACTGTATGTATATTGCAAACTTTCAACTAATGCAGCTAGAAAGCAATTATAAAAAAACAGGAGCAATACAAATTCTATAACTGCGTTGGGGAAAGCTGTTATGTGTCCCTATAGAGGTTCTTTTTACCTGGCAAGGAACACAGCTTATATTCAGCTTTTTACCCTAAGGACATTTCGTGACTTTTGGCCTACTTTTTCCTGTGTATACAGTGCACAAGCTTCTTCAGAATTTCCTGTGATTCATCATTTGGAATGTTATGAATCACTTCCAGTATCTTCTCTATACAATGTAAAGGTACTGAAAGGTTATAAGCGCTTGAAAAATATTCTCAGTTCCCTAATCTCACATAGACATGTACTCTTGTTCCCTGTGAATGAGTATGCGTGTGTGGAGGGCAGATGGAAGACAAACCGGCCATTTTAGAGTTCATGTTAGGGTAAACAATATATCCATATTTTATATAGAACACAAGCAGTTGACATGGAAAACAAGAGTGCTGATGGAAAACAACAGTGCTGACTGGAGTACGTAAAATCTGGTGAAAGCTTGGGCTGTAACCATAATTAGTAGCAAGATCGCAAAGCACAATCGCCTGTAATCATGCTCCGGGTTAACAAACAGCCAGTTCAAATACATTAGACACTATGCTAGTGGCTGATGAAATCTTAATTTCAAAGGAGAAAAGAAATGCAGTGATTACATATACAAAAATAACATTCATGAGAGTAAGCTGCAATTTGGTTTCATCTCATTTTTGATTTAAGATTACATATAACTACTGAAGTAAATTGCTGTGATTTATAATATCCAGAAGTACACATTCACAAACTTAAAAACAAAAAAAACAAAAAACAACCCACAAATGGAATTTCCATAATTACATTAACCAATGTTGGTGCATCAGAGAGCTTTAGTACAGTAAAATGATGGATCACTGTCGCATGGCAAAAGAAATCTTAAACCCACAAATTACATTTAAATTTTTAATTGCTATTCACAGCTTAGATGGCTTTCTTTAATCTTCCTAATAGAACATGCCTTTTAAAAACAGTACACTTAAAATTAGGAAGACTTGATAAATGCTAAGCCAAAATAGATCTGAACTATTTAATGATGTATGATTAAAATGTTATCACCAGAAATGACACATTCGTTATCGAGATAGAATAGAAAACCCTAAATGTTTTGCACTAGGTCCAGACCCTACACGGCTGTTACAAAAGATAAGCAGAAAAACAGGATTTTTTTGTACTCGACTGTACACTTCTTTTTCCTGATGTTCATTGAGGGACACAGCACAGCATATTTAATACAGATGGATTATAATGTCACTAACAGGGTCTGTACACAAAATTCTGAGATGGGGCGGCTCTCTCTAGTGGCTATAACCTCCACCTGCTATGCAGCCTCAGTTGTTAGAAAGCGGTATGGGCCAGAAAACTATGACAACAGGTCAACCAAAAAAAAAAGGAAAAAAAGAACACCTAGAGCAGAGGGTGGGGGGAAGGGGGTGGTTTAGGTTTTAAGGATGGCCTTTTATAACATATTTTATGTTACACCCTATATGAAACGTAGTTGTAATATAATTATATATCAAGGGAACTGTAGCTATCCACAGGCAGAGAATGCAAAAAGGAGATATGGAGAAACGGGCTATTATATTATGCAGTAATTAATAATATATGCAGGGAAAGGTTTCTGAACCAGACCAGCACAAAAAGCAACACATATAAATCTATGATTTTGGCTCTTCAGTCTTCAGGTTGGCTGTACTATAGGCAAGAAGCCCCAACACCACCCTTGCCAAAATCTAGCAATACAACTAACTGCCAATACAATAATTGTCTTTTGTTTTCTGGGACATCAGGATAAATCACCCAGAGCAAACCAGCCAAATACTATAGATCCACTAGTCTTTGTTCATATTAACCTTGTCAAAGGCAGCAGAAGATGGGGTTAATAATGTGTAAAGCATGTTCAAATAAACAGCTACAAGCCTACACCAACAGTTGATAACATGACATCACAAAGGTGAATAAACAAGCTGCAGAACAATATTTTGTCCTTGCCACCAGATGAGCTAATTATGTAACTTCGACCTGTGCTGTAATAGGAGATTTTAGATGATAATACAAGTCATTTACTACCCATATGTTACAACAAAGGGCTACTGCTATTGTTTGTATTATCATTAACAAAGTTGAATTCTTACCACTTACATGCATACAGTTAATAAAGACAGCTGAAAAACTGGTTGTCTTGTTAGATGCCAAAGATTGTAAATGTAATTCTTATTAGCATTTTTCCCTTTGCTTTAATATTGCAATGCAACAGTATCACAAAATAATAGTACCGATTTAAAAATAAAAAGAAAGATTTTATCTCTATCAGATAATCTTTTTCTAAATGTATGTGGCACTTCACTTGCATTTAAAAGTCTGATTTCATGACCAATGGTTGGTGCAAATCCAAAGTAAATTAGCCAGGGATTTTTAAAATCACTGTTCACTAATATGGCAGCTTTGTGTGAAAACTTAGTAATCGGTTAATAGTGCTGTTTCCACAAGGGACCACCACTTACCCCTAGTAAACATGGCAGCAATTTGATACAGCCTGTGGCATACCCTTGGGTGTAGCAACTGCCACTTACATTTTCATGGCAATAAAAGGGACAGCAAACTTAGTAGTACATTATCTCCGTTAAACAAATCTTGGCTCTTTCGGGCTTATTCAAAGAACAAGGTACACAGAAATTATAAAAATGTGATAGTCCAATGAAAGCAATCACAATTTATTTTACTGGTGTTAGATCATGTAAGAAGTGATTAATGGTTAACATAGTATGCACATTTTTTTTTAGCTAATGCCTTATTGACACATAAAAAAATAAACTCTAAAAGATAGAAGTTATGCTGCATTCAATGAGTCTGTGAGAGCGTTCGAGTCAAGATTTTAATATATTCCAAAATTTTGGGACATTTGCTCATATAGTATATTCTCTTTTACAGTACAGGACTGGACAAAAAAACCCAGAGCTTTCCAGAAAAGAACAGAAGGTTTATTCTGCAAGCATTCAAACTGCACTCTCCTGAACATTACCTACAGTGTCAAACTCTTCAACTACTACAAAACCATACGAAATTCCAAATTACCATCTGGAGTCACACAGGCGCTGAATGTACTTCAACAGCTACTCTGAAGGCGGCCTAAATATCACTCCTAGCTAAGGTAGTACCCGAGAGATGACCTGTGAGAGAACACAGATGCAGCCACAAAAAAAAAGGCAACCAATCAGCTGGCTATTTTCTGTCTCTGAACAGGGTTGTTTATACATGCTGTCTGACTCAAGCTGCCTGCTCACAAGTATGCAGAAGAAACAGACAAGGAGAGGGACGCCTTGAGATGGATTCTAAACCTAAACTTTCAGCTTGTCATTTTACCTGCCAAGATATGGTAAATTTATAGAAAGAGTAGAAAAGCCATTTTAAGCAAGCAGCAATGAGCAGGCTTTTGTCCATAATTGTTTAATTTGTTGACACTGCTTAGTAAATGATGTGTCTAGTTCCTTTAGGCCTGGTTCACAACTGGGCGTTTTGTAGCGCGTTCGAACGCTCTGCAAAACGTTCAAACACCGAAATCCCATTGTTTCCTATGGGTATGGTTCACACCTGGGCGTATTTCAGCACGTCTGAACACGCTACAAAACGGCCTACGCCCAAAGTACAGGAGCTTCTTTGGGGCGTTTTTGTCGCGCGTTTCCATTGGGATACAGCCAAGTAGCCCTCGGAAACGCACGTTTGTCGCATCACGAAACGCGTGACAAACGCGCATTTTCGATACGCCTAGGTGTGAACCCAGCCTAAATATTGGATATATCAATTTGATTTTGTTAGCTATCGCAGGTATAAAAGTGTGAGAGGCATAAACTGATCCTATTCAATGTAACATTTAGCATCACAGACTTTTGTTTCATTTGTTTAACCCTGAACTAGACATCTAGCCATGGACTGTAAAACAAATATTTTATCTAAGTATTGAAATTATTTTTGTCACAGTGAGAGTTATCCATTATCATTTAATTAACATGGTCTCACCATTGTGTTGTAACCCACAGGTCTCTGCTGTCTGCTGCTCCTCCATTTGCCTGCAAATGTAGCACCTGTAAGAAAAAGAAAAAAAAAACTTAAAACATTAACAATACACTTCTTTATATTTTCTGATGAATTTGTAGAACCTGCACCAGCAAGAACCTTTTTTTTTTGTAAATGTAACAAATCATAAATAGAGTAATAATTTAAATATATAAATAAAAGCAACCTACCCAGATGTGCAATAGATTTTATCCCTTGGAGATCCTACTGCCCACTCTGCTGGTTGGAAAGACACTGTCCCTTCATAGTAACGATGAGATAGAAAAGTCTTAAAACCTAAAGAAAATACAATCTCGGTCTTAGTTCTAACTACTGTATGTATATTGCAAACTTTCAACTAATGCAGCTAGAAAGCAATTATAAAAAAACAGGAGCAATACAAATTCTATAACTGCGTTGGGGAAAGCTGTTATGTGTCCCTATAGAGGTTCTTTTTACCTGGCAAGGAACACAGCTTATATTCAGCTTTTTACCCTAAGGACATTTCGTGACTTTTGGCCTACTTTTTCCTGTGTATACAGTGCACAAGCTTCTTCAGAATTTCCTGTGATTCATCATTTGGAATGTTATGAATCACTTCCAGTATCTTCTCTATACAATGTAAAGGTACTGAAAGGTTATAAGCGCTTGAAAAATATTCTCAGTTCCCTAATCTCACATAGACATGTACTCTTGTTCCCTGTGAATGAGTATGCGTGTGTGGAGGGCAGATGGAAGACAAACCGGCCATTTTAGAGTTCATGTTAGGGTAAACAATATATCCATATTTTATATAGAACACAAGCAGTTGACATGGAAAACAAGAGTGCTGATGGAAAACAACAGTGCTGACTGGAGTACGTAAAATCTGGTGAAAGCTTGGGCTGTAACCATAATTAGTAGCAAGATCGCAAAGCACAATCGCCTGTAATCATGCTCCGGGTTAACAAACAGCCAGTTCAAATACATTAGACACTATGCTAGTGGCTGATGAAATCTTAATTTCAAAGGAGAAAAGAAATGCAGTGATTACATATACAAAAATAACATTCATGAGAGTAAGCTGCAATTTGGTTTCATCTCATTTTTGATTTAAGATTACATATAACTACTGAAGTAAATTGCTGTGATTTATAATATCCAGAAGTACACATTCACAAACTTAAAAACAAAAAAAACAAAAAACAACCCACAAATGGAATTTCCATAATTACATTAACCAATGTTGGTGCATCAGAGAGCTTTAGTACAGTAAAATGATGGATCACTGTCGCATGGCAAAAGAAATCTTAAACCCACAAATTACATTTAAATTTTTAATTGCTATTCACAGCTTAGATGGCTTTCTTTAATCTTCCTAATAGAACATGCCTTTTAAAAACAGTACACTTAAAATTAGGAAGACTTGATAAATGCTAAGCCAAAATAGATCTGAACTATTTAATGATGTATGATTAAAATGTTATCACCAGAAATGACACATTCGTTATCGAGATAGAATAGAAAACCCTAAATGTTTTGCACTAGGTCCAGACCCTACACGGCTGTTACAAAAGATAAGCAGAAAAACAGGATTTTTTTGTACTCGACTGTACACTTCTTTTTCCTGATGTTCATTGAGGGACACAGCACAGCATATTTAATACAGATGGATTATAATGTCACTAACAGGGTCTGTACACAAAATTCTGAGATGGGGCGGCTCTCTCTAGTGGCTATAACCTCCACCTGCTATGCAGCCTCAGTTGTTAGAAAGCGGTATGGGCCAGAAAACTATGACAACAGGGCAACCAAAAAAAAAAGGAAAAAAAGAACACCTAGAGAAGAGGGAGGGGGGGGGGGTAGATTTAGTTTTTTCTACCTGTAAAATCTTTTTCTTGGAGTACATCACAGGTTACAGGGAGTTAAATTATTTAGCCATCTAGCCATTAAGTAGGGTAAGGATGGCAGTGTCTGAAAGGCTTCTGTCCTTCTGGACCTGGGCTTGCTGTTAAAGACAACAACCTTTTCTACCTGTAAAATCTTTTTCTTGGAGTACATCACAGGTTACAGGGAGTTAAATTATTTAGCCATCTAGCCATTAAGTAGGGTAAGGATGGCAGTGTCTGAAAGGCTTCTGTCCTTCTGGACCTGGGCTTGCTGTTAAAGACAACAACCAAGCAGCAGGGTGGAATATGGGTCCTTGAGACAGGAGGTCTGTATGATATAGAAATGTCCACAGAGAGTATGCAAGGAGGTTGAGTAGAAAGGAAGGCAAAGATAAGACTGAACTGATCCCACAGAGTCACCAATGCATCCACCTTGAAGGTTCAGTGATCCCTGGTCCTGGCCACATACCTGCCCAGCTTGTTGTTAACCTGCATGTCCAGCATCCCCCACCTGCAACAACGCGGCCTAAACACCTTCGGATGAATGGACCATTATACAGAGTTCAGACAATGATGAATAAGGTAGTCTACCTTCCAATTTTCCATGCTCACACTGAATGGTGGGAGGAGAATTTAAAGTGTGCATGTGCCACACCCAGCCTAGTGATGCAGCACTTAATTTTTCCTCATGTTTTATCCCTTTTCATTGAGGGGATAATAATGGTAGCCAATGGATCAAATAAATGAAGTAGTTCACGAAGTGCTCGCCACACGGCGTACATATTAACCCCTTCGTGACTGACGACGTACAGTGTACGTCGCCAGCATCGGGGCTGTTTAAACAGACTCCCGGTGACTTTTGCCGCCGGGACTCTGTTTAAACTTGTAGAGCCGACTGTCG